ATCATCGTAATCCTTTTGTCTGGTTCAATGTCATGTTCCTCAAAGAAAGCAGATAAGGTAGGCAACATGTAAATTTTATTTTCATCCAATTTTTTTTTGGCCAAAGCTGAAGTTTCATTTGGAATAATCGGATCTTTTTAGACAAATCGAGGCATGTTGCATTTGGTCCTTGCAGTGATAAATTTAACTCATTCAAGATGGCAAAGATGGCAACCAAGTAAGCTATTTTTTGCAGTTCACTTTTATTGCTGAAAAGTGCTTCAAACTTCGGTCTTGCTTTCTGATTAAAAAACGTTTTGAAAAAGAAATGTGGATTTGACAAACTAGTGCCTATGATTTTAACTTATGTTTGATATATAGTAGTAAGGGTTTTATGAATGTTAATTATTTTTTGTGCCAACAGCCCAGATTTGTTCTTATATGTAAGCAGAAAGCTATGAGCTCTGCTTCCGAAGTTATTTAATTTTCTCAGATATGAATGTTATTTTTTTTTGTGTTAATAAAAGTGTAAAGAATTGGAAAAAAAACGTTTTGAGTTCATCACGAAGCTCAAAAACATGTTTTAAATTTTTTTCTCTCGACAACCATCTCGCTTCAGGGTGAAATAGCAGAGCATTGTTCGGCGCATCCAACTCATTGCACAGTTGCGAAAACAGTTGACTGTTTAAAGTGCTCGCCTTTACAAAATTGACACAACTTATGACGCTTTTCATTACTTCTTGTAACTCTTGTGGCAGTGTCTTCATTGCTAACATTTGCTGATGAATCATACAGTGAGTTCCCATGACTTTTGGTGACTCATTCAGTATCAAACGTTGAAATCCAGATCGACATCCTAGCATAGCTGGAGCACCATCTGTGCAAACACCACAAACCTTTTCCCAAGAGATCTTATGCTCTTTCAGAAACGAACAAACTGCGTCAAATACATCACATGCAGTAGTTGTTATTTCAAGAGGTTTGCAAAAAAAAGAAACTCATCTTTAAAGTCGCCATCATTAATATACCTCATGTAAACCAGTAACTGTGAACAGTTTGCAACGTCTGTAGATTCATCAAGCTGGATACTAAATATTGGAAGTGGAGAAGATTTAATTTCCTGGATTACCTGATCAATAATATCAGCAGACATGTCATCTATTCGTCTGCGGACAGTGTCGTTAGATAAGGAAATTGCACTCAATTTCATAAGAAATTTGTCTCCGATCATAACTCGAACAATGTCTTTGGCCGCTGGCAACATTAAATCCTCAGCAAAGTTGTGAGGTTTCATAGCTCTGGCCATTCTGGGTGCCACCAAATATGAAGCTTCAACGGCTGCTACATTTTGTTTGTGGTACTTGCCACCAGTATCAAGTCTGGCTTTCTTGAGTCCATCAGCTTTGCTTCTAAAATAGTTAGTATCCTTGCCGGCAAAGCTCGAATGCTTGCTATCAAAATGGCGTTTTAGTTTGTTTGGCTTCGTAGATTCGGCTGATAGAACTTCACAACAAATAACACATTGCGGTTTCTCAATTCCTGCTGTAATTATTGAGGTAAAACCATACTGTAAAAAATCCTCACTATATTTTCTTTTCTTAACGTTCTTCTCTACATTTTTTTTTTGCAGTAGTTGATGATTTTACAGTACATGATTTTACATTTACCAAGTGATTATAATTCATGAAGTGTCATTTTACCTCCAATACTGCTGCTTTCAACACAGTAGCTGCTTTTAACAGAATAGCTGCTTTCAACACAGCAGCTGCTTTCTACACAGTAGCTGCTCTCTACACAGGTGTGACTGGTCTGCATAAGTACATTATGGTGCCAACCCTGTCACATACACCTGTATTTGTATGGGGTGTATGTGATGGGGTTGGCACGATGATGTCATCACGCCGGGTACTTGTATGTGGGCGTATCTGCATGTGGGCGGACCCGCCTGGAGACGATAGAGAAGCGGTGTCTCGGTTCCTAAGACCATCGAAAATATGTGTTTTCCGATGGTCTTAGGCGACCCCTGTGAAAGGGTCGTTCGACCCCCAAAGGGGTCGCGATCCACAGGTTGAGAACCGCTGCTCTAAGCCCTGTGCCATGGGAAATACTAGTAAAAGCTCCATATGTAACCCCTTTTTAATTGCATACTTCAGTTTCCCCAGTCTTCTGCTTCTGACTTGGAAAGCAATCACTTAATAATATCATATAAAGGAAAAAAGCCTTTCTCCAATTTACAAAATTGCAGGTAGTTGTGTTATTCAATTAAAATAATACTTTTTTTTTCTGAGCATAACCTCTTGTCCTAAATTGAAACCCCTAAATGGGCTGCAGACATTTAACCAAATTAGAGAATAGTGTACCCATAGTTTTTCTATTCCTATATTAGAAAATATTTTTTTCTAATTATTTTCTGGCATGCCGATCCATTTGAGTCACAGAATCCATTTCAGTGTATTTCAATTGTTTCAAAGAATATAAAACACCATCACCATAATTACCTCCATATCTTTATAAATATTGCAATATCTGTAATGGGAATGTAATCTTAATAAAATCTATATTGTCTTTGAGAACATTTCATGGGCAGAATTTGTATTAATAGAAATACTTTATGTATCTTATTTCATCATTGATTAAAGGAATCATTTCCTCTCCAAGGTTAATTATCTCCGTCTTCTAAAGATACTTGGTGGCTAATAAAAAATATTTAAATTCTCTTTGTTTAAAATGCAAGGCACTATTATAACAAATTTTAATACATTGTGCATATATATAGTTCTGGTTATGAGCTAAGGAACACAATTCCTTGAATGTTATAGTTTTTCTATTCCATTTCAGTGCTAATTTTTTTTCTAGCAACAAATAATCTATTTTTATTGAATTCAAAATTACAGTAAATATGCTCTGTGCAGATAATTGAACACCTGTAACTTTCCAAGCCCTACAATTATAGATTGCATATTTCAGAGGCTTAAGGATCTGTTTTATATTCCAAAAGTCATGAGCTGAAGACTGATTGCAAATGTGTATGTATTAGCATAGCCACTAATTTTTCTACTGCATTGTATATATACATCTGAATGTGAGGCATTTCATTACCACACTAATATCGTGTATTTAGCAGACTCAGATTTTTAAAAAATAGACTAAAACATAGCTGATATCTTTCCCTGGGATTGGGAAGGGAGAGTCTGTCTGGTGAACCCAATGCTAGGTACTAGTGACTTGTACCTTAGGTATATGAGCACAGGCCAAGAAATGCTGGGAGGGGTGAAGACTGAAGCTGAACCCGGGAGCCCCGACAGAGAACCACCCATTCTGTGCATCTCACCTTCCTCACCAAATCATGTAGCTACAGGGAGGAGAAGCTATATTTGAAAGGGGAAACTGATAAAGTATGCAAACTGAAACAAACTCCTCCCCATTTTTTCATTGTATTCACTTTCAAAAGTGATGTTAGAATGAAATTCTATTTAATTGAACTTGGATCAATTTCAAATTTGAATTGCTATTGTATGATTTGAATTGAAAATATTATAGTTGAGCCTTTTACTACTGTGAACATCAATTTTACTCACCCAGCTATGATAATAGGGTTTTATTTACATGGCCAGAATCAGTATATCAGGGCTAGAAGTTTATTTAGAAATCATTTAAGTTTTATTAGGAACACGTTTTATGAAAAATGAGGGCAGAGGGACTTGGAGAAGCTGTATGCCCAGCCAAGGCTAGAGGCAAGGGCCTGTGGTCCAGCCCACCGCCCTGGGTGTGGCTACAGCCATTCTCATGGTACTACGTGCCCACAGAGCAGTGTTCAGAATCTTTCTAAAAAAAGTGAGTACATAAAGCACAGTTATTCTTATATTATTATTTATTTTCATATTATATTTTTCCATATAAACAACTGTAAACCTTCTTTTGCTCACCCCTGTATATGAAAAGAAGTCCAATGCAGATATGGTATAGGGTGTCAATGAAAACTTGGAATGGAGAAGGTATACATGGGAATAATTGTCATAAGATCCAGTAAAATATGGTACTATAATCACTGGATTACACCTTTGGAGATCCAATTATGTAACCTCAGATAGAAATCATCTGGCTTCTCTGAAAATACATTCTTTTTCAACTGTAAAATGAAGATTATTCCTGTCTTTTCTAACTCTCAAGAGATTTGTGAGGATTTATTGAGATAATCTGTTAAGTCATTTTATAAGCTATGCATTACATGAATGTAAGTGATTGACAAGAATAAAGTCGTAGAAAAATAGAACTGATCACATTCATAAAGACCTGCCATTCAGGAAAGGAACTTATCTCTTTATGCCGTTTATTTATTTTGATTGTATTTCAATTTTCTCCAAACATTTAAAAGTTGTAACTATTAGAATTGGCATAATTTTTAGTCTGAAATAGATTTGAAAAAAATTTTGGATTATTTTAAAATAGTAATTGACCATGTGAATGAGATTTTTCTTACACATTTGATATTCATTCCATAAAGATGAGCTCTCCAAAGGAGAATCCCTTGATAGACTGGGGGACTTTGTGGCTCCTCTGAAAGTGTATGTGAATGTGTGTATGTGTGCTAAGGAGTGATTGCCTGGGAAGATCCAGATCTTTCATCACATTGGCAGAGGTGAGAAGAATGGGATATTAGAGAAGAGCAGAGGAGAAGAAAATATCAGAATAAAATCAAGAGAAGAGAAAGGGAATAAAAAACGTGAACACATTGCTATGCGTGTGCTGTAGGTTGTTTGTGCCCCTCCAGAAGGACTGAGAAAATATCTTGTATTTAGGGGTAAATTTTTAAAATAATAATAAAATATTCACTGAGGGCTTAATCTATCCAGGCACTGTGAGCTTTCAGTCATGATATTAACCCTTTGAGTGCCAACCAATATCCTAGGAACTATGCTAAAATTGCCAAGGCATTTTTGCTGATTTTACAGCAGTTTAGGAAAAAAATTATGAATCGCAAGTAAATGAAGTTACATATTCAAAAACTTAAGGAAACCTTTACTACATTTGTTTTCATCTTTGACATATATTGTTTGCTGATTGTATTATAAAAAACTGGACGCATTTTCGAAGCTTTGATAGCGCTCCCGGCACTTTTGGCGAAAGACAGGAGTGCGATCGCGCTCCCCGGCACTCTAAGGGTTAATATGCCTCACAATAACCCCATCAGATATGAAAAGATTCAAAATCCCTTTTAAGAAATGTTTGGTCCTAAGGGTATGCTGTGTTAAGGTGTGTATATAGAGGCCAGATTTTGGAATTCTGAATTTTTAAATTTTTAGAAAGATAAGCCTATGCCTTTCATCAGATATGAAAAGATTCAAAGTCCCTTTTAGGACATGTTTGGTCCTAAGGGTATGCTGTATTAAGGTGTGTATATAGAGGCCAGATTTTGGAATTCTGAATTTTTAAATTTTTAGAAAGATAAGCTTATGCCTTCACCATAAATTAACCAAAACACCCAAAATGTGCTGAGAAAGCACCTCATAATCTTAATGGGATAAAGAAAAGTTTTAAGGAGCCTCATGTTAGTTCATTCCATACAGGCCAGATTTTCAGGACAAATGAATTATGAAAAAGCATTTGGTTGTCACAGCTTTTAGGATTTTGGAATTGCAGATGAGGGACTGTTGTACATCTGTATTATTACCATCCCCATTTAATAAATGTGAAAATGGCATCAGGGAGTTAGTTCATTGCCCTGGTTGCACAGCCAGCAGGTACCAGAGCAGACTGCACATCCAAGCCTTCTGACTCCTGGGCTGGGGTGTTTTAAGAATTCAGTGCAGATGGACAAATGAGAATGACTTGGTTTCACTTCTCTACTGCCACCAGCTCTCTGCCTTACTGTTCTCATTGTTTCTAAGGATTGTCATTTCCCCTAACTAGATGACAAGGGAGTGGGAAAAGGAAGGCAGTGGCAGAGTCCAATCCCTTCTTGAAATCTTGAAATTGACTGTCCAGATTTAGATGAATTGGTAGCCAGTCCATGAGCATCGTTCCAAGAAGAATCAGGAAGAACTCACTAAATATTCATAAAAGTACATTTTGAAAACTTACTTTGTATTATATACTATCCCAGGCACTGGCAATGCAATGTAGTTTATAAAAGTCTTTACCGTAGTAATAACACAAGTAACTAAATAATTAGAATATACTTTCATAACATGTTCGACACCTTTACATAGAAGTTGAACAAAAGTCCAGACTATAAGGTACCAGGTCCTCCTTAGCTAACAGTCTCATAAGCATATATAGCTCTCAACTCAGGGGGAGCAGGCTTTCATGGGAAACCAGAAGAAAGAAATTCCTCAAGCTACTGTGTTCCTTTTTCCCTATGATGAGGCAACCAAGGTATGATTCGTCATGCACTCAAAATACTTGGAAAGGAGGAAGCCATGGAGAAGAAAACTCTCCTGTCAAGAGGAGCCACAAGGGCAGGGTGAGAATCACTGATAGGAAATCATCAGCAAGGGTTCAAGTGAGCCATGGGCAAGGCAAGGCTGGAGAGGGAAGTCAGAGAGGCCCTGCAAGAGTGGAAGAAGATCGTCACAGCAGGCTGACCCCAGGTGACCTGGGAGCAGGGACAGAGGCTGGGCCCGCCTGGTGGTTGAACCACAGCAGCAGGAACCAGCAGTCGGCTCACAGAAAGATTGATTTCCTGCGATCTTACTTTTCTTCCCAAGGCCAAGGACAGGGGGAACCAACAGGCTGGAGTGGAAGGCTGGACATCAGGCATTTTCTCATGCATTATCAAAGCAGTGAAGCAGAAGGAGCACAGGTGCAATGCAAGAAGGCTCCATGAAACTGACTACAGAAGGGCTGACATAACTGGAAAGTGTTCATTCGAAACACATTATGAGATAAATGATTTTATGAACAAGTTGGAAACCTAACAACCACTCATAATATCATTTCTATGTTAAAATGAGTTGTGCATCCTAAGCAACCAATGCAAAAACAGATTTCGGTAAAAACAGAAATTGTAAAGGACTGTGGGCTGGAGATGCTTGAATTACATTTTCTGTCAGTCATGGAGGCTGCCACTAAGAGCCACTGGGTGGCAGTGTGGTTGTGATTTCCTGGTAAATAGAAAAGGGAGTAACTAGGGTTGAATCTGAAGTTAACAGGGTGTGTTTTGGTTTTTTTTGTTTGTTTTGTTTGTTTGTTTGGTTTCTGGCATTGAGAAGTTTACAATGGAAACGGTTCATCGAATAATAGCTGGAAAGTCAAACAATGACTATCATGCGAAAAACCACGAGCATATGAAATAAAACTGCTTTGTTAACAATGTAGCGTTTTATAACAGCAAAATGTCTACTAGGTTCTCAGTGATTCTTCTGATAGAAAAATGTTAGACATATCTAAGTATAGACAGGAGAGGGAATAGGACAATGGATACCTCTCTTCCGACTCTTACGAAAGCCGCGCTCCTGGCTGTACCTAGCAGGTGCTTTCTGTTCCCGGCCCCACTTCCTCCTCACCATCTGATCCACACTTTCCCTTTGTTCTTTGAAATGTTCTTGGAGACAAATCCCTGACAAGTCACCTCATCGAACTATCTTACTTCACTCTCTTCTTTTGCATTTCTTTGGAATTATGTACAAAAACACACTAACGTTTTGTATCATAAAATTTCTCTCTTCTTTCTTATTTCTGAAAACACTACTTACTAGCTGTGTGATCTTAGATAATTTACTTAACCTCTCTGTACTTCATATTCTTTACCTGTAAAATGAGATGACAGCAGTACTAATCTCTTAGGGTTATTGCAGGGCTGATCTGAGTTAATATAAGAAGAGGCTTAAACTGGCTTGCCCTCCAATCAGAATGTGAAGGAAGAAGTCAGAAACTGTGCATTCTGGTTCTGTTTTCTCAGGGCCCTGTAAGTGCTGGATATGCAGCACATGCTCCATAAATATTTAAATCAACAAGTTAATAAATGAATGGCTAAAATATGATCGTGCCCATGAGATGCACAAAAGATGACTTCAGTATGATCTGTCATTTAACATCGGAAACCTTTATGAACATATTATTTTACATGATTAAAAATAGATCATTTGAAGTGTAAATAAGCTTTAAAACATTCCTTTACATTTTAGATGGATCAAATGTTCTTAAACATTAAGGTAATAGTTAAGAAAGATAAATTGACTCCCAAAACATTAATTTAGAAGAGTAGACCCTCTTAGTTAGAAGCTAGCTCTGAGATAATTAACTCTCTTACTTTCAGACTAGAAACCAGGCCTTTAAATTCAGTGGTTATTATTTTTGTCTTTTTAAACTTATCGCT